AGGGCCCTCCCCCGCTCACGAATGTACGCGGAGACGCACTTCGCCGTGATGTTGCTCCCTTCCGGCACGCTCGAGTGGAGGTCGTACCTCGAGCGGAGCTCCTCCGCGCTCCCGTCACGCAGCATGCGGGCGATCTCGGGGCTCTCCCGCTGCAAGGGAGGGAATGAGGATGGCTGAGACTCATCGGTGCAACAGTTATCGAATAATTGCATTTCATTAAATTGTAAATATATTTTATAAATTATATAAAACTATTATTCCTGTAACATATGATGCAATGAACATTACTGAACTCTCAGTCTCCTTATTGTCCCTTTAAAGTAGCGTAAGGAACGTCCAGGGCGATTGGGCACTGCCAGCTTATTTTAGGACATTGCTGTTCGACGCAGAGTAAAGCCCCATTAATTCATAACGTGATGTCCTCAAGGATCTCACTCATGAACGACTCGGTTTCACACTCAGTATCCAACGCACATTCGTGCGGAAAATCCTACCGTTAATAAACTTAGACATATCGAAGAACGAAGGTGAAAGAATGAAATCGAAGAAACCAACCGCGAGCATTATTTTAACTATAAATTACTCAATGAGACGGAGATTTAAAAATATATTTTCTATTTAAGGAGAAATTCATATCGGCGGGAAGGAGTGCCTCTCATCAATGGGTAACAGACATACTGCGACGATGGCGTCCAGGTTGTCCAAAATGAGGGCGTCCGTCATGGCGCGGCGGAGGGCGCGCTTCCCCACGCCGTAGCGCGAGGCTCTCCGTGCCTCCCTCTCCGTCCAGGATCGCACGTGCCGAATGAACGGCTGGATGTCGGAGGCGGTGCCCTCGAGGGGAGGCTTCTGGTTCTCCTCCTGGTTCATATGGACGATGTTACCGCCAGAATGTTAAAACCTGAATTAGTTAATTTCTGAAAGTAGATTCTTATGGGAAAGAGCTATTTAGCTTAAAGTCCCCCTTTCTCTCCCCTTAAGGAACTCGGCGCATTCGAGCCTTAGATCCTATTTAGCCGGGAGACTGGCGACATGTGGCTCAGAAGCAGCATGCTCACAATAAAATCTAACCAAGAAAATGAGAGATTAGCTCAGACTACAAAAACTTCGAGAGATTGCCAAACAGACCTCCACAATTGTCGCCATGTGATCGCACCTGGACTCGTCCTCCGCCTCCTGGATGGATCCCTCCTTCTCGACGTTCGTCCGACTCTCCTCCTCGCGGACAGACGACCCCCCTTCCAGGAAATTCCGACTCTTCACCTGACCGTAAAAAAGAGACTACTGATTTTGCTCTGCGTCGAGCGGCGAAGCAGGAAGAATATCTCACTCGGTAGAACTCCACCGCCAGCTGAAGGAACGGGTCCTCGAAGACTCTTTTGTAGATGTGGCCGCCGAGCATGGCGAGCATGGTCGTGATATCGCGGATCATCGACCGGTCGACCGCCTCGCCCCTTCGCTCCCTCGTCACCATGTCCGACAGGGCTTCCTTCAGCTGCTCCTTGATTTCCCCGTATTTAATCACCTATTTAAATATATACCGGTATAAGTAATAAATAACAATAAATTATATTAAAAAACAATTATATTAAAAAACAATTATATTAAAAAACAATTATATTAAAAACAATTATATTAAAAAACAATTATATTAAAAAAACTATTATATTAAAAAGCTACAAGCTAAAAAAATACCGACATGGTCTCTGAAGAGGGCCAGGCCCAGGCCGTAGACATCCTCTACTCCGTGCTGCGGCACGTAGACCCGCTCCATGTGCGAGAGAGGATGTCCCTCATGATCACCAGGGAGATCTTGTGGTCGGTCCAGGCCAGGGTGAGCGTCTGGAGGAAGTCGCTCGGTGGCGACTCCAGCAGATCCTCGCGGACCTTTCGGTGACAGAATTTATTTTTTTTTTTGTCAGCGATTCTGCGAAAATTTTCGGAGTCGCCGACCGTTGCACGGATTTTCATGAGCAACCTTCCTTTGGTTTCTTAGACGGAATTAACTAATTAATTAATGCGCGCGGCATCATTCAGCGGTGCCGGCTGCTGCTTGCTATAAAGGGCAACAAAGCCGATGGATTAAAAGGATTAAAAGGGATTATACTCTTGTGTGAAAGCAGGATTAGTGAAAATCAGTCGTGACGGAACCTCGTTTCCTCTTTTTGGGATCTCGCCAGAGCCTCGAGTGGGCTCGATTCTTCATTATGATCCAATAATGCAAACCTTCCCAAAAAATGCAATTTAGAAAATTAGCAATTTTAATTAGCGCGCATTTTAATTTGCAAGCCCGAGGGGATCATGTAAATGACCAAGGAACATTATTGAAAATCCCTCTGGACAAACCGTTTCAAGCAAGAAAAAAATCGGTTCAAGAAAATTTTCATTCGAAAATCGGTTGGCATTCGTTGGCCAAGGAAGGCCAGGTCCTTGGAGGGGGGAAAGCGTTTCGCAGAAGTTCGATTTTGCCGACAGATCCGGTTCAGAGGAAAAAAAAAAAAAACAGTTCGCCGAATGACAGAATTCAAGCGAGGGAGGGCTCTTTTCGCAAGAAGTCGTTTCCCATGCACCACGAAACTGGCAAAAGGTCGGATCTGATGGCTTCGAGATGTCACACTCGATTGAACAAAGAACCGGCTGTATACAAGTTTTAGCGGTAAGTTTTAACCGTGAGTAAGTCTTAACCGTGAGTAAGTTTTACCAGCGTGAATGAGTTCCGGTCGTCTGGATTGCAAGATCGTACGATGAGGAAGGAACCACGACAGGCGGCTTCGACTGAAGGATGCCACTCAGCCACTCAGCCACTCAGCAACTAAGCCACTCAGCCACTCAACAACTAAGCCCCTCAGCCACTCAGCAACTAAGCCACTCAGCCACTCAGCAACTAAGCCACTCAGCCACTCAACAACTAAGCCCCTCAGCCACTCAACAACTAAGCCCCTCAGCCACTCAACAACTAAGCCCCTCAGCCACTCAACAACTAAGCCCCTCAGCCACTCAACAACTAAGCCCCTCAGCCACTCAGCCACTGAGTGGGTGGTTGATTTCATTGTGGAACTCGGAAGCGGGGTTTAAATATGTGGACGCCCTGCCAATTTCCTCAAATTGTCAGCCTCTCAGGTAAATTTATCTAGAAACTACGGAAACTGCGCCGAGGATGAAACATTTTTTACAGCATATTTAATTTTTACCACCTTGATCATGGACCAATGGGTCTGTCATCCGCTTCGAAATGAATCAACTGCAGCCGAACGCGATGCCTTGAGTCAGTATGAGTCGTAGCGAGAGGATTACATCCTACCTTTACCACGCTCCTCCTCACTTTTGTTCCTCACGACGGGGAGTCCCAATTTACCAAAGGCATAAAAGACGACCCACCTCCTCCTCGAGGTGCCTCGCGACCACCCTCCTCAGCCCGGCGTAGAGCTTCCTCCCCTGCCTGTTGAGGACCATGACACGCACCGCGCGCTGCAGCTCCTCGGAGCTCAGCCCGTAGCACGACCCACCTCCTCCTCGAGGTGCCTCGCGACCACCCTCCTCAGCCCGGCGTAGAGCTTCCTCCCCTGCCTGTTGAGGACCATGACACGCACCGCGCGCTGCAGCTCCTCGGAGCTCAGCCCGTAGCAGTCCTTCCGCAGGATCTTCTCCAACACGCTCTTCAGCGACTGCCAGAGGGCGTCCGTGTGGTGGTCGACCGGCGTCGTCTGCGAAAGTCCGAAACAGACTCTGTGCTTTCCAATTGACATGTTTCTCCTGGGTTCCTGTGATTTCTTACAGGCCCATGAATGTGAGGCTTTCCGCAACTTCCTCACATTACGTTACTTACTCATTACTTTTCCCATCACTGCATAACTCATCACTTTTCTTTAAATTGCACGGCATCATTGATATCTACGTGCAGAGGACATCATTCAAGCGTCCAGAGTATATTCATACACGACTAAATACATTTCTGGGGCGAGACATGCCGTTACATGCCAATTCCACCAGAGCGCGAGCTCGCCCATACGAAACTGTGAAACTTTTTCTGCAATAATTTCTCTTCTATTTAAGATAAAAACTTATTTATGATGTCATTTCAATTGTGAAATCACTGCCCTGAACTTAAGTCAAGGCATTTTTTTCCTCAGCTAAAACAAGAAGTTCCACATGACCGAACACTGATCAAGTTCGGTGCACAATATCTACTCTTGCCACGTCGGGAATTCGCGGTATTGCTTCATGAAATATAACCATTCAATTGCTTCACGAGACATAACCATTCAATTGCTTCCAGAGATATAACCACTCAATTGCTTCCAGAGATATAACCACTCAATTGCTTCATGAGATATAACCATTCAATTGCTTCACGAGATATAACCATTCAATTGCTTCAAGAGATATAACCATTCAATTGCTTCAGGAGATATAACCATTCAATTGCTTCACGAGATAGAACCATTTGACAACAACGGGGCACATGCACCTGCACCTGTGAATCATGGGAATTTCACACGATTTTATGCCGCTCTGTGAGTGAAGTTTTGCTGATTTTTAATTTTAAGAATGTTTCACTTTGTCCAATTTTGCAAAATAGGCATGCTAGAACGGTAATATATTTATTTCATTGATTATTATCATAAACAAGTTAACTTTAAACGATTAGTTATGTGAAAAAAATAGAATGCAAAACATTGTGCAATACTTTGCAATTTTTCCGAAAAATAAAATGATAAAATTGCGTGAAATCGAAAATTTCGGAAAAACTGTCTTGAATCCAATTAAGGACGGCGATTTCGCAATTAAAATGACATCAGAAAAAAAGCTTGTGTCTTACCTAGAAGAGAATTCATTGCAGAAAATGTTTCACAAATCTTTTTTTTTTACTCCTCGCTGAAGCCTCACCCCAGGGCCGAATTAAACTAAAACAACAGCAAATATATAAATACTAGTAAATAGCAGAACGAGAAGAAACTCACATGCGAACGACGGGACGGCACGATCCTCATCTTCAAGGACTCCTTCTCCTTGACGACGAGACGGTCTGGCACCTCCTGCGGCACGACAAAGTCGGGGGTGGGTCAAATATTCATGCACAGATTTCTCAAAACATTCAATGATTTCTAAGAACCTGGATAGTCCTTTTCCCTGCTCTGTGAATATAATGAGCGCTTGTGTTACTGACCAGGGTGCTTGCCCCCCCCAGCGCCCCTCATAAAAGCGCCCCTCATACCAGCGCCCCCCATACCAGCGCCCCCCATACCAGCGCCCCCTTCCTTCGGGGTTCTGAACGCCCGATTTGATCGAAATTTTCTCAAAATTCACCGGAACACGTTGAGTGTTGTGAATGCATCGCTATTCTATCCTCGATCTTGTCGCTCCACCTTCCGGTTTCGTTACGCAGAGAGTGTAAAATACGAAGGAGGACCCTGTGACCGTACCGCTATCCATATTTCCCAACAGGCCGCCTGGGGATGGGGACTCCTATCAGATTTTCCGGAAAAGGTAGGAGGCCGATGCGTTTGCCGCAAGGAGAGTCCCATGGTCGGGAGATAGGCATCTGGAGGGGGAAAAAAGCAAGGGACGAAAGTCACTCGCTTTTTCCCCCAACTCGTAAGAGTTGTAAGGTGAGGGAAGCTAATCTGTCCCCCCCCCCTTGCCCCCCTGCCCCCCTGCCCCCCCTGCCCCCCTCCCCCAGGGACCATTCTGATTTCGTCGCACAGAACGATACGCTATCGCTATCCTTAATTTTTACCAGCTATCCTGATTCTCCCAAACCTGCGGAGACAGGTAACGAAATGAACTGCCATGATCGAAGCTGTTAGCAGCGAGCATCAGAGGTTAAGGAAAAAGCCAAAATCGTCGAAAGAACCGTTCTTAACATATACTGCGCTTCCTCTGACGAATCCGAACCGCATATAACGCAGCAAAAAGCGATCCAACGTAATAACATATAATTGTACAAAATAAATAATGTTTAAAAAAATAAGCACCACATGAAAATCCACCGCGGTCCGGCGCGAGACGAACCGAACGTCCCAGCCGGCGTCCATCTTGGCACTCCACCGAGCCAGCCGCGCCCTCCCCATCTGGCAGGGAGCGCCAGACTCTCCCATCCGGATCCGGTCGAGCGTCGAATCCCCTCCGGGCCGAGCCTTCGAGGGGAGCACGGGGGGCGCAGGAGGCAGCTTGGAGGTCGCAGGCTCGCGGGGACGGGAGGGGAGGTCCCACCAGGTCCCGAATGGCTCGCCGGGCATCGTAATGAGCGTTGAGCGGAACCTTGTGAGCGGAACGAGGAAATCGCCTTCTACGATGACAGAAAGTTGGCTGGATTGACTTTAGATTTAAGAAAATTCGGAGAGGTGGCGCTACTGTCCACACGGACAAGCGCAAGTAGACCGAGCGAGGCAGTTGAAGGTCTCACGCCGATCCGAAAAGGCCGTCGGCCATTACGAGAGGATGCGGCATGGCTTTCGCCGAGGCGCAGTGCAATCATTCCCAGGATGTTCCCAGGATGTTCCCAGGATGTTATAGCCCACAGTGGCGTGTGGCGTCATGAACCGAAAAGCCACGCGTTTAATGGGCTTGACGGCGTGAGAAATGGCAGCCGCTCCGCGGAAGCGGCGTGCGGCCGCGACGCGTTTCGGCGTGTCCGGTCGAGTCACTTTTCCCGTTTCTCCGCGGCGGAGAATTTAGCGATGAGGCATGCACACTAACGCCATCTCCGTTGTTCATTTTGGAGAAGAGGAGCTGAAAGCCAGCTGGAAGGTTGTCGGTTGCTCTTAAGTTGTTTTTAAGTTTAAGCGCTAAACGTTCCGATGAACGCTCCGATGAACGTTCCGATGAACGTTCCGTTGAACGTTACGTTATGAACGGTACTACCTAAGTCGTCTGTTACGCTCGAAAGAAGAAACAGCCGCACAGAACGGAGACGCGCACACCGCGTCGACCACCCACGTCGACCGTCACGTGCAGACTGCACATTGGCGCATCCTTTTCCCTGGAAGCGCGAGGAGAGCCCTCCGCGGGGACGCTCTTCGGGGTCCGACCCGGCCCGCGGGGCTCGAACGGTCAACGGCCGCGGGCGACCCTGTGGGTCCCGCCGCGGCGCGCGACCAAAGGACGGATGGCCCTGCGACCATCGCAAGGCGACGAGTGGACTCGGGGATGCTGCGGGCTCTCACCCGATCCCCGGATATGGAAAATTCGCCCTTCGACATAACTGCGCTTCCAATATCGTATTGTTTTTCTCTAGAAGCAGTTCAATCGTGTACAGAGTCGAGATGAACATTTCTTTGTAGGGAAAATCACGCAAGATCCCATTGAATCCCATAGGATGCCGATAGGAACCAATAGGATCTCAAAGGTATCCTATTGGGATTCAATGGGATCTTACGATATTCTATTGGAAAACGAGGTACATATATAGGTGCAACATCTCCCGCGATGGGAGATGTTGCACTCGAGCGCCGCGCGCGGTCCAGCCCGAAAGCGAAAAAAGCCTCTCGCCGCCCAGTCATCGCTGACGGGTGAAAAATCATGCGGAACGCGAAGGTCGAAGGAAGGAGGGGGAAATTCTTCGCGAAAGGAACATCCATCCGCGTCTAGTTTCCCTTCTCGTTTGTGAAGAGTTTTATTGCTAATTTATTTTTTGAGTGGGGGAATCGTATGAGGTTTCGTGCAGTTTCTTCCGAATTCCCCAATTTCCTTACTCGAGTATGGGTTGTTATGGACTTGGAGTCCTTGGCCTTGAAGTCTTGCCTGTAAGGAGTGTCGGAAGAAAGAGGCAGCCCTGAAGCCCATTCTAATTTTTAAGTGCATTTTTTCGGCGCCTCGATAAGTCCTGCGAATCTTGTACAGAGGATAATATAAATATAATAAAATACATATTTAATTATAATCTAAAATAATTTAAAATGGAGACTCTCCAACTCGAAGTTGGAGAGCCTCCATTTAAACTCCAACACGAAGTTGGAGAGTCTCCATTTTAAAGACTCGAAGTTGGAGAGTCTCCATTTTCACTCCAACACGAAGTTCTCGTTTGGTTGTTCTACTTAACCGATTTCCCAAAAATAAATACGTCGAGACCTGTCCGTCAGATACAATCCTGGACGTCTCGAAGCATATTGGGATTGTCATTTCATCCAACGCATTCTTGATTATGAAGCAAACCTTTTTTTTTCAGATGCGAGGCGTCGCGGCAACTTAAGTCGGTTACCTCTCGTTCCCTTGCTGTCATCAAACTGGAAAAACCTACCACACTCGACTCCTAGAGAGACAAATTCGGCTTTTCCACTGGACGAACTTTTCTCTAAATGCCACCCATAATTCAGGGGAATAACTTTTACACACCAGTCGTAAGCATCGCGATCGTACGCTAACGATAAATTCAACTACGTTCACGTTGCGTCATCCACGGCCGCCGCCATATCGCACAGACCGTGGCGACACCTCGTCCAAACCGTGAGAAGTAACTCGGTCGCGGCTGAACCACCAGGTCTCATCGTGATCGCCTTGGCACTACAGCCCCTGTAGAGAGAGCCTGGCCAACCTGGGTCACAGTTTTCCACGCATCAGATTGGCTGACGCGCATGGACGCCATTTTCGCTCCAGCTGCTGCATGAACCCGGTCCTTGCGAAGAAAGTGAAGTTGCTCTCAGTTGATTTAAAGCGATGATGCCGTGTTGTGCTGCGGTGAAATGCTCGAACCGGTCTAAGTGAAAGGTTTCCGGCTGCTTCTGTTCCCGAAAGACCCCCAGAGAAGATCCCTCCGGCCCGTTAAAGCGAACCGTAAGGATTAGAAGCCGTCAGATCGATCTCGCTCACGTGAGGTAAGCAAGCAACATTGAAGCTTCGCCAATTGGTTGAGGCCTCGGCGGCGGCAGGCGCCAACATGGCGATTCATTCCCAACCTTTCCCTGAACCTTGCAACAGTGTGATACATTGCTTTCTCGGTTGGCGCCTTTGGAACGCTGCAATGATGGCAGTAACGTTTCATCGTATCTTCGATACTGACTTTGTCTCTTTTAAAAATTTTTACCGCTTTGCCTCATACCTAAGCCCGTGGTTTATTTATTTATTTTTTAATTTCAACAAAAAAAAAAACCACGGAAGTGTCCACAACATCACCCAAAATAAAAGAAACGGATCAGTTTGAAATAACCAAAGTTATATCATTTCGGTTATATATCATATATCATATCAGTTATATCATAATCTCCCAACTTAGGTCCCAACCCATTAACTTCACTCAATATGTAGATAGTGTGACATTATAATTAGACCAGTGCATGATTTCAACAATGCGAAGGAAAAGTCCTTCTTCGGGCATCCATTGGACCTCCAGCAAAGGAACTTCCAAGGACAACTTCCTAAGGCCTTCCATTGGATGTCCTTGGATGGATGTCCTGCCCCGCTGAGGCCTTCTTCATGACCTGACATCTCGCAGTGAATTCAGGGAATATGAAGTTCCCTTGATGTAAGCGAGGTCGCGCTCATCTCGCCGCTGTAGGTCTCCCGATTCCCAAAATGCCAAGGAATTGTTCTACGTAAGTATTCATCCTTCACTCGATAATTTCTCACGTGCAAGCCTAAGGAATGAAGTCATTCTAATTAATTAATTCGTTGAGAGACGTAACACAACTCAAGGAAACTCCCGGCAATTCTTGCAGATTGTATGTTGAGAGTGTGGTTCCCCTTGTGAAGTGCGAATGTTCTGTCTGTATATATACGGTTCCATTTAGCATTGGGAAGCAAACTCTTTTCATTGAGAGATAAGGATTAGAAGTCGAATTCAATTCAATAATACTTCGCCTTTCGTCGTACGATTTCTCTACCAGTTCCTTCAAGAAACGTGAGAGGGTACGATCTCTATTTGCAGGAAATGCTCTTCTACACCATGAATATTGAAGAGAATGCATATTATGCTCCGTAGCTACCTTGGGATCGTATCACTGCTACCTCAATGGTGATCCAAAAGCTTTCCCCAAGGGAACCTCCAATGGAACCAAAGAGACGGACATCCAATCGTCCATCCAATGGACGTGTCCAAGGATTTTCCTTGGACGAGACATTTAGTCATCCAGGGGATGTCCGAGAAGGATATGCATCGGATGTCCAAGTGTCCATGAGGGACATGTCCAATGGATTTATTTTGGGTCAAAATTGCTACGTGGGCAATGACATCGGACACGGGTTGTAATGATTGAGAAGAAGGATTTTTTTCGGCACCTTCTTTAGGGTAGCACTATACCCGTGGCTCATTTAATTTCTTTGTAGTATCATTGATGCTTCTGCAGAGTGGATCCTTGGTTCCTTGGTTTTCTTGGTTATAAATTGTTTTATGAAGTGGTTCATATATTCACGATATCGTGCATCAGAGGCCTTCACGTAACAGTCAATTAATTAATTTCTCGCTCCTTTTTTCCTTTCAATCGCCAGCAATTCCCGTTTGTCTCCGATTAGTCCTGATGCACGCTAAGAAAGCAAAACAATAATACTTCGATAGAAGCATGATAAACACTCCAACCAGTTCAGAAATGTTTACCGTTGAAGGACTCCAGCTCTTATTCATATTCAGATTGATTATTTGAGAATTTTTAACCCATGAAATATGCTATCTAAGGTAAAAACTAGCATGCTTCTGCTAAAGCAGGCTAGTTAGTGCAGATCTTGGCGATTAGCAGGTGATGGCCTCGCCGAAAATATTTCAGGAAAAACTGCAGGGTCTTGAATGATTGCCAATAAGTCTGGCGATCCCACTTGCCAAGCGCGCCAAGCGGCAATTCTCCTCACTTATATTTAGCAATTCAATAATAATAATAATAATCATGACTTTCATTTTTCTTTTTTCCCTCCTCCAAGACAATCGAGCAGCTGAAAAAGTGCGCGAGGCCTGCATAAAAGCGGAAAAGCAGCCACATGTATACAGAGCGGGCCGTGTTCCCCTCGCCGTGCTCCCCTCGCCGTGCTCCCCTCGCCGTGCTCCCCTCGCCGTGCTCCCCTCGCCGTGCTCCCCTTGCCGTGCTCCCCTCGACGTGCTCCTTCCTCCCTCAAGGCGATCTAATTCTGAGGAAGAGTGGGTATGTGTTGGCCTCATCACAAGGCTCGAATGCTGTGGGCTCTGGACTGGGACATGCTGGGATTAAAACGGTCCTCGGCCGGGTTAAGGAGATTTTCCTTCTCTTCCTTCTCCATTCTGGATGTTATCTCGCTGGAAAAATCAGTTTTGTACTGAAATGTGCTCAGGCCGGAACTAGATATCGGGGCATTGCAAGTAGGGACTCTTGCTGATTTAAAATGAGAAGTTCGATTGTTTTTTAAGCATGAGTTAACATTTCATTCGCAATTAAGTGGAATGCATGTTCATCAGGGATTAACTGGATGAAAGGGAAGATAGGCATCGGGGATACCAAAAAAATTGCATAAAACTGCAAAGAAGGAATTCCCTTTCCGCCCGACCTTCACCGAGGCCAGAGTTTTTCATTCATGCATGAATCTCTCCATTCTCGACGAACCGGAGTCTCCAGGTTCAATACCGTCGGCTTTCAATGCACTTTCCCCTCCGAAGTAGATGTGCCAGGGATGCCACGACCAGTCGAAACGTTTTGCTGACGACGCGGGACGAACGGATGAAGGTGCAATGCCAGGTAACATCTTTTCAGTCTTACCTGGTTGCCTACGTTTCTAGCCGAGGAATTTCCTCCAGGTATGGAATCCGTTACGACAAACTACGAAACGATAATGATTCGTGCGCGAAATTCCTCCGTCCGACGCAATTTCCTACGACACTGCCATTTTCACACGATGAGTACAACAAATCGACATGCATCCAGAAATGTGCTGAAATTCTCCAAAATACGCGCAAGGAAATGATCTACTTGCGATGAAAGAGATCATCAAAAGGAATTCCTGCCAGCGTTTGCCCCTGCCGTACTCACGCATTACAGGGTGTTTCAAAAGTGACTCCCGCCCGGGAAACCGATTGACGCAAGCTTGCGAAATTTGGTGCGTGGAACGGTTTGGCCCGTGCGGAGGAAAACATAGGCAGAAAAATGGAAAACTTGCAATCTGATTAACTAGCTAGTTAATAATATTCCCCGCATCAATCAAGTGACAGGATCTGACGATTCGCATTGGTTTCCTTCAAGTAAGAGATAGTCTCTCTTGCAGTTCATTGTGAAACACGAACCGCATTTGAAACGAAACCGATCCTTCGATACGCCTATCGACATGCACGATTACATTACCGAAAGTTTTCTATTCCATGCATTATTGCCTCTTCGTCCAGTATTTTTTAAATTCCATCTGGTGGAACCATCTCAGATATCGTGGGAGAAAAAAAAGTTTAACGCGAAATATACAGGTTCCTTTCTGATCCAACGCCGATCTTTCTGGACTTTTATGATTTATGAGAGGTCGTCGCGTGCTCCGAGTTTCTGCATTGCGTTTTGTTCTCACCAATTGATGAGCCCGGTAGCATAAAATTTGTAAATTTGTAAAATTTGTAAAGACGTCGACAGGACGCGTTCTTCCTTTCGCCACCCGATATTTCTCTCGATGTGAAACGAAATACTCGAAGAATTTATGAAGATATCATTGGATGGAGTGTTTAGCGATCTCTTCGTTTCCAGAGTAATCGTGCTCAGTCGAGAAAGGAGGAGCGAGGCGCAGATGTAAGACTCCCAAATGAATCAGAGGAAGCTATGAAGAATATTTCATGCATAAAGTGCTGATGCCATGGAGAGTGGCCCTCTCTAATCGCTTCCGTAGAGAGTAAGTTCAGCAGAAGCGGGGGAAAAGTGGAAGGCCATGAATGGGAGCACCTCCCATCGAACTCTATGCCCTGGGGCGGAGAGACTCGGAGGATGTCGGTGGGGGCCTTGTCGCTCGGCTACGATCCCTCCGAGGCCCCGTTGATAATTGCGTTCGAGAGGCCTCAAACGACTCTTATGAAGGAGGAGGTTGCAGCGCTTTAACTTGGCTGGGGATGTGCCCGTCGCGACTTGGAAATGTGGAGAATAACGGGATTATCTGGCTTGAACGCTCTTATTCGCTTTGATCCCGCGATGAGGCGATCACAACTTTCCGCGGCTGGGAGCATGTTCCATGGTTAGGGGTCATTTTGCTTTAAATAATCATCAAATAAGGAACCGGAAAGAAGGCCTCCATCTTCGAAGAGAAGGACTCAAAACGCGATGGATCGTGTGATGTGAGGAAGGTGACAAATGCCACAAAGAGAAAAATCTCCTAGTAAGTGAAGTTCTTAAAACGTTTCCAATATTGCTTAACATACATACAATGTATTCAAAGGCGAAAAATGCAGGAACCGAATGCTCAAGACTTGATGCCCTTCTCGGTATTAGTCCAACGTAGGATGATCTGAAGATGATCTTAGTGTGATCTGAAGATCATCAGAGGATAAAGTAAGCAATGTAAATTTTTCGAAAGGGGTTTGACGTGATGCGACCAAGGTCGGGAAATGAATTTCAATTTTTTAAAATTTATTTTACGGTCTCCATTTCCTCTCCAACCGGTCTCGCTTTCCCCTTTCAAAGGACATATGGATTTGAATTTCCATTTCGAGTGTGGCCTTCTCTCGCCAGTGCTCCACGTGAGAATCGACTCACGCTTTCGGATTCGTACGAGTGAATGGAGAGCCTTTAAAAGGGAACTTGAAAAATGCGGCATCGAGTCCTTTCGCGTTCGCCAGGCACGAAACGGTCGTCGTGCTTCTGTGCTTCACGGCAGACCGGCGTTCGAACGACCAGCTATTTATTTTGCCTGTATTTTCGTTCTCGACTTGCCGGTACCAATGATCTGGAAAAACGTTAGCGAGCGTTCCTCGTCAGAATGTTAAAACTGGATTGAATTTCGAATATCTTTTGGAGAAAGTCAACTTCTCTCTTCGTACTTTTCAGAATCACGAAGAGAGAAAACGAGTGAGGACTCCTCTCACGTTTCCAGTTTTTTTTTTTTTTTTGGGTGGGTGGGGGGGGGGGCAATGATACAATGTTTTTCACTAGTGCTAGACGATTTTTCCCTCGACGAAGACACCTCGGCGTGGGACATTAAGGCAGGAGGCCTTGGCGCTGGTGCCTTTGGTGACTAGCCACATCTTTCTCTACTTGGAATATTAAGGGGTTCATCGAATGAATTCTTGAGGGAACCGGAAATGAGGGACCGAGCAAAGTCTCGTTGCGAACGCAAACCCTTCCAATAAAGTTTGTTCAAATAAATAATAAAAAGCTTGACGCTTTTCATTTCCTGTTCGCTCAACGATGTAGCAAAACTCGGCTGGGCTTCGATGCACAATCTCAGATCCTAATCTGGGATCTGAGATAATCCCCAAGCATAATCTGCCTACATGAGTTCGATGTGGGGAGGGATACTTCAGAATCCGTCAACGAGGCAAAAACTTCACTTGTTTTATTGAAAGTATATTGAAAGTAAACAGAAACAGAAAGACACGAAAGGGGAATTTTTCCACTCGAACATAAAAAGACCATTTCCATATATTGTGTATTTGGGAGGGTTCATATTGATATTCCTCTCTTCAGCAGGATATTAATCGCCATTGTCATCACTGACGTCATTCGTCACACCTGGAGCATTTTTTTTAAATTGAGCCTGTCTCCTCGAGTCTGAGACAAATGCTCTGCACGGATCCGAGCGAGACGCCAAGCTCTTCTCTGATCTCCAAATACGTCTTCAGGGACTACAATCGCTTTTTGGCGATTCGGAATCGATCCTCAAAAGCAGATTACCTCCGGCAGGAATGACATTCCCCGAAGATCGAGATTAAGAGAAACAAAGTCATGGACGCTGCTCTGGAAGGATTGCGAGGCTGCCCGCAAGAGCGACGGGGGCGACATCTGCACCCAAGAACGGAAATCCTTGCTTCTGCTTCGATCCGCCATACCACCCTACACCCTGGTCGATGTCATGTGAGAAAATGACTAATTCGAGTGAAAAACACGATGAAACGCCGAAAGGTACAGTGCAAAACGTTTGCTTAAAAAAAATTTCTGCAAAAAGTTCTTTCGTCCGCCTCCATACCACATGAGAGAATATTCCAGGGACCGTCCTTTTGGAAGTGAGTCGAAATCAGTTTCTTAGTTACATGTTTATCCCAAAAACCACCATCTTTAACGAGATGGAATAGGGAATTATGTGCATCGCATCGACTATATCTTCCAGGGGGAATTTTTCGCAGAGAGACCGCATCGCTTTTCAGCCCTTCATATATTGTTTCGCCATCCCTCATTTCCTAGCTGGGTTCTTCTCTCTCACCGGCAGTTGTATCTCAGGCAAGAGCAAGGTAGAAAGCCTTCTCCCCGTGGTCGGTGAGGAGCCAACCGGCTTGGTTCATGTCCATCCTGATGTGATGGTCCCATTGGAATCCTATAGATTTTTCACGTTTTCAAAAGCTCTAGGATTCCTACGGGATTCCTATACATTCCTGTACGTTCCTTTAGGAATCCTGTAGGACTGTTTCGTAGGGGCAGGCCCATATCCAGTTATGGGCACGACAATATTGCTATATCCATATGAGTGTAGATGATATATGGATACGTAATATATACCGGTAATTCAAGCAATTCACATCATTTTCACTCATACCAACAACTTCTACTCCAAACGCATCTTTATTTCCATGGTGACGACGAGGACATCCCGACCAGAATTCACGGCACGCCGTACACCCGAAACGCAGATGGATCGTCCCGAAGACTGCATCGACTCGGTCCCTCGACGAAGACACCCCACGACTAAGCACGCGGTCACTGGAGTCCGTCACCGCCGGCGCCCGAATCCTCCGAAATCCGTCGCCTTCCGGTAACCGTGGTAACGCGGAGGTTCGTCATCGGGTGGATACGCCTCGAATTGAGCGTGGTCGAAGTGCGGTCCGAACGGGGTTAGTTCCTCGTATTCCTCGTAATCGACTCTGGGGGGGGGGGGGGGGGACAAAAAAAAGGTTTAAAAATTGAGGGGGGGGGGGGAGGACAAAAAAAAGGTTTAAAAATTGTAGAAATTCAAATATGGTGAATAGTTTCACTTGTCCTAAATAAGACTGTCTGCAGTAGTCAATTTCAATAGGAACTTTCTATTTTTAGTGAAAAAAAAAAAGCGGGGCTGACGAGCTCCAAAGCCATAATCGGAGTGTTGTGGATTTTCAGAAAAGTCCACCGTCACTTTTGACCTTTTTTTTTTTTTTACCTAATTCAAGAGTAGGAAAAAGAGAGCCTTTTGCCGACTCACGCCTTTCGTCTGGCCCGGACCGCCGCTTCACACGGCAAAACTCCGAAGAGCGCCACGAGGAGGGCCATGGCACTCACCTGCGGAAAAAAAAAAAATTCCTGGTTTCATGGTTGCTTCGAAGCATCGTGAGGGAATGATGGTTTTTGGAGGGGACTCACGACGAGGACCGTGAAGCGGGAGAACTTCATCTTCCGATCGATCGTCCGAACTACGAGAGAAAAGGAAATACCTCGGTTAGAAGGGATTGGATGACTCCCATTTCTGCAAAACCGCATCTACTTTAAATGCAGGCTATTATATGTGTTATTATTATATATATTATATGTGTTATTCTGTTCACGATGAGATGATCGTTCGAAATCAGTGCCCACTCCCATCGCTTGCAACCGTGGCCGATTATCATCGACCGCCGCTGAGAAGTGCAAACGTTCGATTCGTCGAGGAGCAAGTTGGGAGGAAACATGGACTCGCTCAGATCGTGAACATGGACTCGCGAAAAGAATTCGGGTGTGAAGGAAGTGAAATCTAATTCACTCACATCTTTCTTCGACGGGGATGCAGACCAAATGTGAATCAACGATCAAGAATTTCATTACGTAATTTAGAAAGCTTATAGATGCTCTGGGTGGTCGACTGTTATTCGAATTCATCATAATCCATTTTAGCCATGATACATTCGAATCACGTCATCCATGCGAACCGATCCATCAGAAATACAAACCTTGTGCTGAAGTTCAAAAAGTGACGGGAAGAGAGATTTCACTGCACGGATTTCTTTTTCAGATTTTCAAGCCCGATTGAAGGTGGGAAACTGTGCTGCGAAATAAACAAGTCCCTGATCAGTTTGTTCTCGAGTCTGAATAATCCAGCGCCACTCGCTACTCGAGTCTGAAGGACTGAGAAGTGAAGCGGCTGGGCAACGTGGCACAAAGGACGCGACTAGACGGAATGCGGAGACCGGTGAGGAAATCGATTCGGTTTCATACATATGCAAGCTGTAGTTGCACGTCCTTCCTGGAAAGTGAGGATAAAATATGGAATCGGAATGGCCAGCGATCCCCCTGCGTCTTTGACGCACGTCGCACTAAAATTCTCTTTCGTCTTCGTTGACGTTTTTAGTTTCCGCCGTTTCGCGAATTATTGCTTTAAAATTTTGAGCGCATTCGAATTGGCAAGGTTCAAAGTGCTAAATATGAATTGTGTTGAGATGAGCAAAGGGCTGCTCGGAATGTCTCCACGGGTCATTGCAGCTCAGTTTCATCCAAACTATTGAATATTTGGCAAAAGTTTATCAGGTTTCTCTCATGGATACGGAAGGAGTATGTCACATGCCCTTAGTGAGAAAAGAACCAACGGAAAAAAGGAGGAGCACTCATGCCCTTGTCGCGTAAAACATGTGATTTCTCAGAAATTATTTTAGGAAAAACTTTACAAAAAATTCTAGGGAAGGGAAATGAAATGGCACTGCCTATCTTGTGGAGCATTTTCATTCCCTACTCTCTTCAACGGGGATGCAAATCGAATGCAAGTAAATAATCATAAATTTCCTTTCATAATTTAGAAAGCTTTCTTAAAGCCTTCCCGGTTGTTCCATGACTATTCGACTTCATCATAGCCCATTTACCATTGAATCATACTGGATTACCACAAGGAACTACGTATGAGACACAGAGACCTTGAGTGCAAAACATGACGGGAAAAGCTTGGCCGTTTGGATTTCTTCCAATTTAAAGTCGCTGGAAGATGGAAAACTGGGCTGCGAAAAAAACCCCGTACTTTTCGTATTTATTTATTATTATCCAGCACCACTAGCACTCGAGTCTAAAGGAACGAGAAAGCAAGCAGATGTGACCCGAAGGGCGCGTCCAGAAGGAATGCGGCGAGCGGGTGGAGGAATCGCGTCATACACATCTCGGCTGTTCTCGCGCGTCCTTCCTGGAAGTGGAGGTCGAAAAAATGGAGTGAGATCTCCTCCGCGTCGCGCTCCTGGTTCACGCGCGGCCCGCCCTCCCTCCCTCCCTCCCTCCCTGAGTCTCCCCGTCCTCGTCAACCGTCCCTATTCAGATCTCGATCTCCTACGGCACGCCCTCGCAGAAAAGAGTCCCTGGCACTTTGGATCCTGTCGGCCTCCTTGGCTTACGAGATTTGAAATGGTTGACCTTCCCGCGGTGACGTATGCTCTGCCTGTTTAAAATAGTTGATGTCTCAGGAACAACAACATTAAAGTTCAGCAGCTCAGCTGGAAGCTCGATGCTTGATCTGGAACTTTGATGCTGAATCATCAATAAGTATTTTTTCTTCTGTTGAAATAATAAAATACGACAAACAAACGAATCATTTCGTAGAAATCAATGAGTAAATCTTTTATATACTGAGTAAATCATGTCTTTTTCTCCAAAACTTACCGAGACAAAGGACCATTCTTGTTCTGTAAATTCAGCAAATTTCAAGGTGACCCGTCTTTTTTTTTTTTTTCCTTCGGCATGAATTCAAAAAAACACGACCGTCACAAAAATTCGCAGTTCTTCACATTGGCCTTTTCCCCGCGTGGGGATTTCATCTTCGCTCGCCTCGAAGCTTCGCAGCTCTGAGGCTCCCATGTGAAAGCGGCGGGGATCCACCTTGCCGCGAGGTTCCAGAACCCTCGCGGAATGACGAGGTCCCACTTTCCTTGCCGAGCGCTTTCGTTCCTGCCCGACACGGCAAAGGACCCGAAGGATTCGGAAAACCTGGGAAAATCAGAAACGCTTTCCATTCTTCCGGGAGGGATACGGAGAGCTCAACTATCCGTGCAACTTGGAGCAATAAATACACTTTTGTTTACATCTCGAATTTTTCCTTTATTCTGACAACACCTCAACCAAATCATTCGTCAGGAGGGGGGCGAGGGAGGGAAGGGGGGGGGGGGGGGGGGGGGGGGCAAGGGGGCTGAAATCTCATTACTAACGGCAGGTCCTTCTCTTCCCTTGCTACCGTCGAGGCTCGTAGTCTGGTCCGTAGTCTGGTCCATAGTCTGGCCCGTAGTCCGCTTGGCCGGAGGAAAATCCGTCCGATCCGTAGTAATCTTCACCCGAATCGTCCCTGTGGGGACGCAAGGCGAGATCGAATGTGCTCCAGGTTAGTTCGAAGAGAAAGATATTGCGTGGAGATGGGGCGAAGAAGTCCGCAAGCTCGAAACAATTTTCAGTGGCACGGAGAGGGTTTTAGGCATTTAAGTAATGGGAACTCCGAAGGATTCATTATTTTCGGTTCCAAACAAGATGCATCGGAATTCCGTTCGCTTAAGAAAATAAGACTGAGAAAAAGACCTTGAGAAAAAGAACCCGACCGATGCCTTTGAAATTTTCTGCAGTTTCGCTAGGAGCCATTTCTTTTCTCTTCCACTTTTCCCTCACAGAGATAGAACTCGCGACTCACAGACTCCGTTGGACTCGATCTGCGGCGTGCGCCTCGTCGCATCGGGACTCCGCGGCGAAGAGCAGGAGCGCCAGGGCACTCGCGACGAAGAGGAAGCGGGAGAAGTCCATTCTCGGTTCGACCCTGAGAGAGAGAGGAGACGAGAGCATGGGGATGGATCCGGATTCGATGAAATGACGGAAGCAAGGGACGAGGCGAGAAAAACGGAGCAAGACTCGAAATCTCCGTTCGAAAAAAAAATTACTTGATAAAAAAAATTTAAAAAAATAACGATAAAAATAACTAATATAAGAATAACTTCGGACTTCCGCCGGGAACGAGAGCGACTCGGAATTTGGGCAACCTCCCCGATTTCCCCTACTCCCATGCGACACGAAGAAGCACGGGGTTTTCCCCAATCCCAGAGAGCATCGTTCCACTTCTTTGCATCTTTCCATCCGCCTCTTGCTTCCCGGAAGGAAAGAATTAGCATGGCTATCGCCAGTCTGCGATCGAAAACCGAGAACATGACGAAAGCGAGAAAGTGCCGCCGTTTTCCCCTTCTCTTTTCGCCCCCCCTTTCCCTCCACCTTCCCCTCCACCTTCCCCTCCACCTTCCCCTCCAACCTTTTCCCGAAAGGCGAGTCCCTGCCAATCCATTTCTATTTAGAAACGGATTAAAGTCATGGAACAGCCGCGGAACTGACTCCCGAGCGTGTTCTTCTTCTCTTCGACATTACCCAATTTTTAAAGGAAAACTTGCCTTCTGCCGAAAATGTAATAAGTTCTTTGAATGGGATCTTCACGCAAATTCTTTCATTTATTTTAAAACTTACCGTGCTTACTCTTGCCCCAAATTGCTGCATGCGATCTCGATACATCTGTTGCTACGATGCGCAGGGATTCGCGCTGCCTCTCGTCTAACTCAAGGGGGCACCAATATTTCAAATGCCAATTTTTTTTTTTGTTGCTATTTGATGGGTTTCTATGCGTTTCAATGAAATAGCTGGAGTCACATTCACTACAATTAAGGTTTTAAAAGTGCCAGCAGAAAGAGGAAGGAGAATGAAGGATTTCCTGCAACCGTTGAAGATTCTTCATCGAATGGACGCTGTCGTTAACTGCAGTGCGGATGCGACTTTCGCTGGCGGCGCTTTGGTCGAGGGTCATTCGCTCGTTTACGTGCGGGGTGGATGTCTTGTGAAAGAGCGGTCCAGACGGTTGATTGTTGTAACTCGATTCCGATATATCGTATCGCTTTGAAAAGTGCATCGCCGCGAGCAGCGATGCGCTCGGAAGACAGACCTTTGGGGCTAGAAGGAAACGGGAAGAGACGGTCCGAGAAGAGGATTTCTTCGGATTGCGGCGCGGGAGACGAGACACTTCGCGATGGAGCGAGTCGGATCGGTGTGCTTGGGACGGTTGGAATCCGGAGAGAAAGGAAGAACTCGTGAGGTGCGAGGCGGGAGACGAAATGCGATCGAGGCAGAAATCATCTCCTTTCATACATATCTCGGCTGTTTTTCCGTGTCCTTCCTGGAAGCGAAGGGCGTGAAGAGGATCGCCTCGTCTGTTATCCGCCTGCATCTCTTCTGCCCGGATCCCCCCCTCCTTCGAAGGTGCCTCCCTCCCTGAATCACGTGTGAGGCTCGCCTGCCTGTTTACCGGGGGCTTTCTGCACGAGAGATTTCTTTGGCTTCGACTTCTTTTCTATCGCGAGGAGTGTTTTTTCCTTCCTCAGATGCAAATTGCTGTTTCCATCTCACTAATGTCGCTCCGGGAAGTGAGCATTGGGTTTCTTTTTTGATGTTGTGACGGGAGTCAATATATTTTAGTAGCGCCACGAAGAAAAAGAGTTATTCTAATTTTTTTCTCATTCAGTTACGGAGGAACGAGAGCTGCTTCAAATGTATGTCAACATTGGTACTTCTGGGAGCTTAGTTTATTACCAACTTTTCCCGCTTCACGAAGTACCTTTCAACGGTATGCATAGCTTCATTCCTTGAAACGACATATTTTAAAGCGTTTCTCGGTGGATGTGGGTAACCCATAGTTGTTCTTTTGAGGCTCCTCCTTGAGCTCCATTCTTATTTCCTTCATGGGCAATACCATTTTTTTTTGGAAGAGTCACGTTCAGCTAAATCCGGAGACAACGAGGGTCGAGATGGTGTCCACTCTTCCTCCAAATTTGGCTTCCGACGATTCGGCTCGCCCGGTTATGGTGAGGGAGTTGTTATGGTTATGAGGTGATGGCGAGTTGTCACTCGGCGAAATGATAGGAAACCGTTCTATCAGAGTTTCAAACGCTGCAGCCACACAAATATCCGCATGCATGTTGTCATTGCAAGAGGGCCCTCCGGAGCGACTGGGTGGGTGGAGGCATATTTCACTCGCCGTGGAAGTTATCTGGGCTATAGAAGGCCGTGGCTGCGCTCTTCCCGTCCATTCGCTCTTGGGCTCTCGAAGAGGTCGGACCCCTCCAGTCCTGCTCTGGCTGCACCACGGTCTCCAGACTCTTTTTTTTCTTTATTCGGTTGTTCACCCTCGAATTGTTTCTCCAGTTGGGTTTCCATTTTCTCTCATCTTGTCTACCTGCTGCTTTTGAAGGCAAGATGAGAAAGATGGGGAAAAGCAGAGGACTATGGCTTATTGTTTGAGTTCTAAAAATACATGGAGAGAAACGCGCAGTCATTATTATCTCATTCCAATGAATGAAATAGCTGAGTGGTTGTTGCCTTGTGGCCGAACAAATTTGCAGATTAAAACAATGATCTTTGTTCATTCGAATCATTTCTTTTTCACTCATCATGATGGGAATCATAAAAACAAGGCTGAAATAAAACAGCTGTGCCATTCTGTCTCGCTGCATCTTCGCATCTTGAGTAAGGCCAAGTTCGTATAAGGGGATAGTGAAGGGGAAATATCATCTGAAACCCGAGCAACAAACCTCTTAATTGTATTGAAATCAAAGAAAATTTAAGACAAAAAATTATTATTTCAGGACTGGAATCGAAGTTACGAGACAGGACTGAAAACCTAAAACTTAAAAAGAAAGTAAAGTAAGTTTTCTTCATAGAAAATTTCCCGAATTGCCAAGTCACGAACGAAGGAGCAAAATTGACCTGAGAGAATTTCTTTGCACTCAATTGCATGTTTGGTGAGAAGTCTGAGAGGTGAGATCACGGCGAATCGGTGAAGGCTTCGTGGCTTTCTCCTCCAAAGCCTTTCACGTATGTTCGGGAGGAATTCAAATTCCGAGTGCATGCGTCAAACTACTTGGCCAACTGGGGAGAGAGGCCGTTATGTAAATTGAAGACGGGAGTGTGCAGCGCGTGGACGGGAGGGAAGGAAGTGGAGATTGGGTGAGTGTGAGCCTGGTTTTCCTCTTATTTCTTCCAAGTACAAAGAACAGCCAACAGGGAAATGTTAGACGAAGCTAAACCCCTAGGGGCCCCAGCAAAGCCGGTCCCAGTCCAATCCCTCCGGGACCTTGCTTTCACGCACGTGACCTTGTCTCGCGCACGTGCACGTGCAAGTCACGGCGCTTCCTCCGACGCTAGGCGCGTGAGCCACTCGGGCTCATCGGTGGTTTTATTATACGTATCTGTGACTGTGTGGCCCTAATCGAGACCGACGATCTTGAAAAGGTCACTTTCTGAGACGAAATACGATGTGTTTTCATTCCAAAACCTCTTCCTCTCTTCACTTTCACGAGGGCTTCCTAATCTTCTCCCTCACTCGTGAGGGAGATGAGAAACTTCACTTCTCAGCATTCACATCGTGCTTTGCCTCTCGTTGAGAGGCTCATCATGGCAGAACGAGAAATATTCAAATGTGATGATTTTATGACGTTCCGAACACGATGACAAAGCCGGATGATGAGGAATGGAATGATTTAAAGTCTTTCCAGACCTTCCAATTTCGATTAAGGATTTTCGCATGACATTTCCATTCCTTACTCCATTAACCGACACTCGAAACGACGGCCAATTCTTATTCGTGGAGTCACAACTTGGAATCCCCCCCCCCAAAAAAAAAAAAAGAAAACCACCACTGAGTGATCGTGCTATAAATATGATCACTGAAACTCTTGTGAACGGTGGGGGGATATCCACCGATCAAAGACGTTTAACTCGGTATTATGAGATTTCTGTTCCCATCTTTCCCCGCTAGATGGCATACTCACTCCATCTCCAAGTTATTCGGGGAAGGGGGCAACTAGTACCTTTGGCCCTATCTCTCCTCTCCATTTATAGATCTTCTTCTTCACACCTTCCACGATGCTCGGAACCTTGTGTCCCAACTATTAAGGAAGTTCATACATGTAGGCTCACTAGTTACTTTATTCAGACTTATATCGGGTCTACAAACACGAATACTTTTCCATCCACCGACTCTCTCTTCCCTTAAAAGAGAAGGAGGACCGCATCGAAATCGAGGGACTTCGCCCGAATCCACGAAAAACGTATTCAAAAATGTCATTCCCGCACGCAAATTTATTCTAAATCGCCGAGACGACACGTTTGCAGACGTTTCTAAAACGATCGACACGTTCTCTCCTCATCGACGACGACGGCCGAACCCGCCGAAATGCGTGGCCGTCCGGTAGGCATGGTGTCCCTGATTCCCGAAGTACGGCTTCACCACCCTCAAGTTTTTGTGGAAGTAGTACGGTTGATAATGGTCCTCGTGCCAGTACTCCTGCGCGTGATTCTGGCTGTGGGAATTCAAATACCAGAAGGTTCCAGTCCATTAGTGAAATTTTCAGTAATGCAATAAAGGGAAAAGTTAATAAAATCGCAATTTTGTCGGTAGTCAAAGGACACACAATAAATTAGGAATTCTATATAATTAATAATTAGCGAATAGGGAGGCCGATTTCGATTATTGCCGCCGGAGTCAAAATCCTCCGTGGCCTTTCCCAATGGCCTTCACTTCCTTCAAGACGGATGCCTCAGCGGGCCGACTCACTGGTGCCTCCAGGGTCGAAACTCGTCGGGCGAATGTTCCGCCGGTGTGGCGACGGCGAATCCCGCCGGGGTGGCGACGGCGTATCCCGCCGTGACCAGCGCGGTCACCTGGGAAGGAAGTGACGATTTTTGCCGAATTTCCCTAATAGAATTTTTTTTTTTGAATGGGAAATGAGACTCACGATGAGGATGAGGAAGCGTGGGAAATGCATTTTCCTCCTCGTTCAAACTTCAAGGAAAAAAACAAATTGCGATTCGATGATGAAAAAATATCATGAATGCGCTTCGAGAAGATCCGAATTGAGAGGACCAAACAGCGACGATTGAGCAATTGTGAGAGAACGAGGCGAGTCGTTCGTTTAGCGGATCCGAAGAAATTCGTTCAGGAAATAGGATCAGAATAATTACGTGGGAAATAATATGTAGTATAAGTAGAGGAATGAAAGTTAAGTGAAAGAATTTAAATAATGCAAGAATAGCCGGAAAAAATAACAAAAGACTTTCGTTAAAAAAAAAGAACTAGAATTTTATGTAGACAGCAGGAAAACTTAGAACTTCATGGGAAAAAAATTTTTTTTTGTAGGAGTGCCCCAATTCTTGTCCTGTCCCGCCGGCGATCATTTCTCGAGAGGTTTTCAGTGTAAAAAAAAAATAAAAAAATAAATTATATATATGTATATATATAGGAAGGGGGTGATCCCGTGTCAGTCATGAAGTAAACGGTTGTTGAGAAGCACGAAATGACTAACTCAAAAGAGGATGGAATAAAATGTTCATTCCCCGACGTTTCGACATTTTCATGCCTTTCTCAAGGGGAAATAGGCTCACGAGGTACATTCTTGACCCTTAACGAAGAAATCGAAAGAAAATATAGTGGGCTAAGTAAGAGATGTCCTTGTTTAGCCCTAATGTACTAGTATTTTGAAAAGGAGAAGTTCTGCGATGCCAGAATCCTGCAATTGAGCAATCCAATCCACCCCCGAGTACGCATCTTGAAACTCACGCACTGGAGTCTGCCGAAGGAGAAAGGAGCACAGGTGTGACTCGAAGGGCACCTCCACGCGAAATACGGGAAACTGTGGGGAAATCAAGTTCATCTTAGAGATATCGCCGCTGCTTTTACGCGGATTTCCTGGAAACGATAAAGTGCGTGACAGGAGGAGGCTGCATACGAATGACCAGCAATGCACCGGCATCCCTTACTGCACGTCTCACCCCTGGTTCATGGGTGGCTCACCCCTGGTTCATGGGTGACTCACCATTGGTTCATGGGTGGCTAACCCACAGGTTTCCTGGTGTGTTTTTCTGGGTGTTTTTCTTCCTGGTTTAAGCAGCCCTTCCTCTTAATCTCCCTTTTAAATGACGTTGGTGCAGTCCAAGTGGCTTCGTGTTTTCCATTTCACATTGCTTATCGTATGACTGCTACAACGACTACAAGCACTCCGTCGAGTATATATTAGGATGGAATGGGATTCATACTGCAGAGCCCTAAGCGGCTCGTACAATCACGTTATTTGCAATCCTGATGTCGATAGATGGGAGCTAGTGTTCCTGCATCTGCCTGAGAAAGGTAATCAGGCTTGACGTCTCGGTTGCATCGGAACCGACGTGTTCCCGCGGCTATTTACCTTCGTGCAGCTGCAGACGCGAAGAAACCCGGAGTGAGAAGTTCTCAAGTGAACAAAGTGCTCGAAGGCAGGAAATTCCGAGAGGGAGAATCTACCTAATGATGGCATTCCCGGAACTACCATGGGTGCATGGTTACGGCAGGGAAAACGTTTTCAAGGAACTTTATTTCCTCTTTTTCGGCTATTACCGGTGAAAAAGTCACGGTTTCCGTATGAAGTAACGAAAAACGATGCCTAAGTATTTTGTGACTTTGGAAATCCCAGGTATCGGATGAGGCGGAAGGAATGCCCGAATCCCCTCAATCTCCTCGCAATGCATATTCCAAGCGAGTTCCTTAACCCTTTCAGACCTGATTTTCAGACCTGGCTGCGAACGGAATAATATCTTTCTTGCATTTTTGAGCTCTTTCATGATTGTAATCGACATTTTCATGCTTAATATGTATAATATTAAAAAAACTGTCGTCAGGGACTCCGAGTACCACGGCCGAGAGTCCTTGATTGACTTTAGCAGTGGATTTGCCTGTAATCCTTCCTTTCTAATCGGGTTTTGGGTCAGTGCTACCGGAAACTTGAATGGGATCGATCGGAGCTGGTTCAGTCAATAAATCGTTCTGATGTCGTATTCATATGGTACATGGTACGCTATGAGAATCACTAGGCAGATCGCTGGATTACATGACCAACATGACTCATCGGATTTTCCGTCATGCAACTCCGATCGGTGACGTGATGGCCTGTTAATTACTTAATTAATTGTAACTGCATACGAAACAGGAAAAAACGAACGGAGCTTTGAACACATTCCCGTCGCCGATTCTTATCGAGGCAAATACACACCCGCATCAATAGCATACATCCACTCATTTGCATACCTAAACCACCCCTTCGTCAGGGGTGGAGGCGGAGCAGACGACAGGAAAGGTGGAGAGGCAGCCCCTGACGTCACACAATAGGGAACCCCTTCCCCCAACCCTTCCATTGTTATATGACAATAACATTGTTATTGACACCACCTGACTGACCAAAGGGATGTCTGGCGGCATCCCTTTGGACGCCAGACGGGGGGGGTGGGGAAACTCTCTAACGCCCAGGAAAAAGTATTACCGACCCTAACCCCGATCCCAAAACCATTCCGCTCTTATTGGTCTCGTGTCGACATAGCGTTTTTTTTCTGCAGCAGCAGAGGCGATAAGGCTCAAAGGTTCCTAACCTCTTCCCCTCTCTCTCGAACCCTAGCTATCTTCCCCTCTTTCTCTATTTCCCCTGAAGATCCCGCGCTTTTTTCTGCCGCGGGGGGAAACCCTTCTGCACAACTCCGCTCTACATTCTGTCTCTCTTCCTTCCCTCTTTCCTTCCTCTCTCTCTCTCACTCGATCTCAGCATTAAAAAATACATATTTAATACATTTTCTGACTCTCAATTTGGCGGCCTAACCCAGATCTCACTCCTCAACCTCATTCGCATGAATCCAGTAAATTAAATATGCACCGATCTCAAATAACCCTCTACCTCAGTTCTCGTCACCAAGGCGCCTGATAAGACCCTTCCATCCAGCTGGCACCTAGAAACACCTTCTCTTCTTTTGGGGCTTCTATCCCCTAACTCACTTCTGCCAGGATGTAAGTCTAATATGAATTAATTGAACACTATAAATATGCAACAAAAATGCAAAACTGCTCGGACATAAAAAAAAACCTTTCAACTTCCTCTGTAACAAGTGAACCTAAAATTAAATTGCCCCAAACCCCAATCCTACTAAAAGACAGGTTGCTTCAGATTAAATGGCCGCTCTCTGTCTTCATAGATGTAAAAGCTAAAGCATAGAAAAGGGAGAGATCCAGATGTGAATGCAGCTTTGTTCCCAGCCTTGTCGTCACACCTTAGGCATGGGATATCTTCCAATGATTATGTCATCATTCTTCACAAGGGTTTTGCACTCAGCCAGCCCTGGTGTTGGGAGGATCTCCATGGTGAACGGGAGCCATATGACGGTCCACCCCATGGCAGTGGGGCCCACCATACTTTTAGCTTCTATTTACTAAAAAAGGCAAGATTTGCCAATCATAAAAAGGAATGTCATGCATGATTGCCATAATCATAAAGAAGGAAGATGCAGGTTTTAGGTGTAAGCGTTAAGATTATAAAACATAAGGTCACGAACTTTTCTACCCACCCTCGTACTAAGCCAGACCCGTCCTTTAATTCGCTAAATATTATTAATAAAGATTATACATGCCTGGGACGTAAATAACGAGAGATTTTAATAGAAAATCAACGTGATCAACTACGTCGTTCAATCCCGTAAATTGTATAGGTTGGTAAGTGATTCCGATGACAGCTGCGTATGTGATGGCGATGATTAAGATGATTCAAGACAGACGCAGAAAAGGACCACAGAAATGACGGTTTACCTCATCAGATAATCAGAAGACGACCAGGAAATATCAGCTCGAGGGTTGCTCAATAGGGGGAGGAATACAACCACCAGGCAACTCCCAGTTCAGCTTTTCTTCCACACCAGCTCAGGAGACAGCAAGAAAAGGAGTGGCTCATTAGAGCGACTTCATAGAGGGCGGAACAAAGTCTTCAAACAGAAGCCAATTCAGTTTCTTGCCCACGCCATTCCAGGCAACGCAGGAGTCTGCTATCATTGTAAATCGGTATATGAGCTCCGTAGAAAGCGAAAAGGCATCAAGATCAAGAAAAAGGAAGACATTGAACGAGATTCGTTTTAATTTTGAAGTTTCATTTTGGGAAAAACAATATTTTTCCAGAGCCAAGTGTTTCATGCAAATGGCATTTTCTCCAAACTACTGTGCTCGGGCAAAATGGTGTAACTTAATGCGAGAATATATGCGATCTCCCCCCGCTAAATGTCATCAGTATCGCTGACGGCCAAATCACGATTTCAATGAATCCAATCTGACAGGAAATGGATCTCCGACCACCTCCGACATGGATCTGCATTCTCTTATAATCCCGAGTCCCTTTGTGGAAGGAGTTTGAAATCTTGGTTGGATCATGAAATTTTTTTAATTCAGTAATACGTTCGCTAGTAAATTATTGAAATCCTAGGTTGAAAACGGAGCAGAGCTTTGGTTTCAAATGAATGTAGGCAATTTGTCCCAAATTCGACTGGGTGCGTGGAGAAGTGAGCCTCTCGGTTCCGTCCGAGTTCGGACAATTGGCCGAAAACCGACCGGGTGACCGGACCGGATTATCCCCATGATTCGGAAAAGTAAAGCCTTAACTTGGCTGGTGATCAAGACCCGACGTCTTATGTTCGCATCATTAGTACCGCCAATCTCGCTCCATTCCTCAGATATAATGCATCTGTTCGAATCCCCTTTCCCCCTTTTTTGGGTGGGTGGGGGGGGGGGAGATCCCGCCTGCTTGCCCTGTTGAAGAAAAGTATTTTAAAAACAATTTTGAGGCGTAATGGGTTGAAAGATGAAGCTCGCCACTGGTTTCTTTCATTCTTCCTTTCCCCTCATTAATCTTACAGTTCTCCCTTTTTTTCCCAGAGCCACCTGGGTCGTCATCCTTTGCTTACCTCTCTCAATTTGAACTTTAATCTGTCGATAAGTCTAATTGAATTGCAGGCCCTAATGCTTTCTTGTGTTCCAAAATCTCTTGCATTATTCGGTTCAAGGGAACAGCTAACACATCCCTGGCTCTTTGCCAGGCAAACGTAAGCAAGGGGACATAATACAAGATGATACTAATATGGGCATCTCTAGCCCTCTTTCACCGTCTCGCGCCCCCGACCTATGTATTCTACTGTAGATGGCACTTCAGATTCCCTCTCTATTACGGACCTAGTAAACTGTGGATAGAAGTTTGTTTGGGTGCTGGCCTTTCAGCTGTCGTTGGTATCGGTGGAATACTTCCTCCGACTGGTAGTGATATTATGAACGGGAACGCCTCCTGGCTGAAATTGGAGAGGTCAAGCGTAGCCGTTCTTGGGTTCCACATTTCCATCCCACGTGAGAGTCCAATCTTCCCCACCTCGTTCTCTGGAGGTTTTACTGTATTCTCATCTGGTCTTGCATAAAGGCCCAGAGATCTAACATAAGGGACGGCCTTATTTATGTGGATCCTTCGAGTGTCCAATGACGATCCTATTTCTTCTACTTCTAAATTTGCCGGTGGGTATTTTCGAATGATTCGATAAGGACCAACATATTACGCTAGGAAATTTGCCGTTTGTCCAGGTTTGGGCGGTTTTTCATTCTTAATCAAAACCCAATCTCCCGCTTCGAAAGTGGGTTCCATGAGTGCATTCTTTTGATTATAATACCTTTGTCTTTGTTCTGCTTGATGTTGCAACTACTCCCTCGCGTGTTCATGCCTCTTTTAAGTCCTGCTGCATTTGCTCTGTCCAAAATAGGTTATCTTTATATCTGGGTGGACATGGTGCCAACAATGCATCCTCGGGAAGACGCATCTCTCT